AGATAGATAGATAGATAGATAGATAGATAGATAGATAGATAGATAGAGATAGAGATAGAGATAGAGATAGAGATAGAGATAGAGATATATATCAGATATAAAACATTTGCTAGACCAATACTTGAATACAGCTCATCAGTCTGGAAGCTGCATTACATATCTGATATTAATACAATTGAGACAGTCCAGAAATATTTTACAAGAAGAATCCTCCACTCCTCTACTTGTAGCAGAATACCTTATGCCACCAGACTTGAAATTTTAGACTTAGACAACCTAGAACTACACTGCCTTCGTTTCGATCTAAGTATTGTATATAAAATTATATATTGCAATGTCCTACCTATCAATGAATACTTCAGCTTCAACCAAAACAATACAAGAGCACAAAATAGATACAAACTAAAGATAAACCGCACCAAACTTGATTGCAGGAAATATGACTTCAGCACCAGAGTGGTCAATGTCTGGAATACTCTACCTGACTCTGTTATTTCTTCCCCAAACCCCAAAATCTTCAACATTAGACTGTCTACTATTGACCTCACCCCTTTCCTAAGAGGTCTGTAGGGGGCGTGCATAAGCACACCAAAAGGTGCCTACCATCCTTGTCCTATTGTTTCTTCTTTTACTTATTCGTATCCATTTCATATATTTATAGCCATGTTTATACTTATACCTGTTATCTAATAATTGTTTGACAAAATAAATAAATAAATAAATTTGCTAATAAATAAATAAGACTTCCATTAAAAATATAATCAAATAGCTTGGTAAACACTGGCAAAATATGAATACAAGTAGAATATTCCCTATTCTTAATTTATGGAAATTTGTGCATAAAACTGAGACATATTTTGCATTTTTGGAACTAGGAATAAAATAACCAGATTTAACAATTAAGAATACAGATTAGATCTAAAAAATTATGTTTAATTATGTAACAATTATTTTATATGCAGGTCACTTTTTGCATAAAAAAATGATAGATGTTGCTTCAATTACATTGAGAACAATAATTTGGGTTATTCATTGAATGTATCATATTAGAAAAAATACCTTAGTATTTTACTTCTATTATTCACATAATAAATAGACACGGTGTCCAAAATATATCTATAAAATTACATGATAAACTAAATGAAGGTTTGCCCTTCCTCAACTGACCTGAAAATGTCTGTCACTGCCACCTATTTGTAAAAAAATAAAAATAAAGTATAGATGAAGGTGTGACGCATAGGAAATATGAGCAAGTGTGGAGGCTGCTAGAACAGAAAAATTCAACAGGGAGGAAAAAGCAGAATTTAAAGTTTCTCAGTTTCTCCTGAACCCTGAGTTTCCAATATTTTAATTAAAATAGATGATACGTAAACAAATTGATGCCTGTCCAGAAATAGGTGATATGTAAACAAATTGATGCCTGTCCAGAAATATCTCAAATTATGATGTAACATACTAGTGACAAACCAACATATAACATTTTCTTTCAATATAAAAATGAACTCCCTTCAGAAATCTACCCTTTTAAGAAAATGATACAAATTCAAAATAGATAGGCACTGATAAAGGTATAGCAAATTAGGTTTCAAAAATGAGAGATTTTAGATTTTAGCCTATATTCTGAACCTTGAATATTTTTCATTATCTGTTCTCTGTCTCCCCCATACCACCCCCACACTGAAAAACAGTATTTTCCTATTTATTTGACATGATGAAAGATCAAAATCGAAATGTACAACTGTATTCTTCCATACAAAGCTGATTATTTAGTTTTTGACATTAACTCTTTGCTGTCTACTTCTCTTAAACATGTAAAAAATGTTTAACTCCAATTCTTGGAGTTTGTGAAGCTATAGTTTAATTTTTTTAAAAAAAGTATAGTGATTTAATCAATAAAGTTATTGTCTGAATAACTTACACTTTTCAATTTAAATATCAAACATACTTTTGTAAACAAATCAAAGAATTTTTTTTGCTAAGAGTAACAAAGCGATATGTTTCTGTAAGATGAAAATGTGTAACTTTTTACATTTTTCTGTTTTCCACCGAAAACTGAAGTTCTTATGCTTCAAAGTTTCCAGATTTATTTTAAAAATCTCTAATTGCGTTATGCCTAGGACATTTGCCCATGCGGTAGAGCTATATTAGTATTATCCTTCTCATCTTTCCTATTGTCTTCTTTTATTGATATCTTATGGTTATTACTTTGTTGTTTGTACGTACACTGAGAGCTTCTGCACCAGAGGCACATTCCTTGTGTGTCCAATCACTTGGCCAATGAAGAATAAAAATACAGAATACCATTCAGGATTTTTGAAAAAACAAAACTCTTTGGGATAGACTCAGAAGTATCTTACTGCAACAATCAGATACCATCTAACAAACAATTGACTGTTTCTTACAATATGAACAATATTTTTATAGCCAATACATTCTTGAAGTGAAAAAAGTCGAATTCTATTGTTCTTTAGAAAGAAATAGTTCAAAGCATGATTTAAAATGGAAAAACTTAGGAAAGCTGACATGTTTAATCATGCTAAATTTTTATTTTTAATTGATTTTCTGTCTTTCTCTGTTTCTTCCTCCCTCCCCCAACCCGGACAAAAGGTGGAAGTCTCTGGAAGATTCATTATGTGGCTCCAAACTTTCAACCAAAGGGGGCTGACGGACGTTATAGACATATCATGTGCCCATGTTCAGGAGACAATGTGACCCATTATAAGCCTCCTTTGTTTTTTGACCTCTTAAGAGATCCTTCAGAATCAACTCCACTTTCCCCAACTTCTGAACTATGTTTTGACATCATTATAAGCCAAGCTGAAGAAGCAGTGAGAAAACACCAATTGACTGTCACTCATGTCCCGAATCAACTGGATCTTCCAAGTAATCAATGGGAAAAAGATCCGCAACCATGTTGTGGAATTTTCCCTTTCTGTCGCTGTGATAAAGAAACCAATTAATTCCTGATAGAACTGTCAAAGAAGCAATGTTGTCTGTCTAGTAAAACATTTTGGATATCTTGAAATCATGTTACCGATGGTTACTGAATGGCTTAAAAATTACCTTGGAGAAGATAATAAAAAACAATATTTTTTTTAAAAAAAAAACAGATTGTATACTAAAGGGGAATGAATAATATTTAAATTTTTAATGGAAGAAGGATCAGTGCTGGTCACTTTTAGCAGCAGAATTTAATTTGCTCACAGTGTTTCTGAAATATACTAAGATATAAAAAAAATTACATCTTCAAAAAGTTAGGAAGCCTTGGAAAACAGAATTCTAGAGGTGGGGCCATCACCCAAAAACAAGATTATTACTGTCACCTTAAGAACATCTGCACTGGAAATGAGACCAGCAGCTAAAGCCCTAGACCAGGGGTGTCAAATTCACATCCACATTGCGTGTTCATAAACTTGACCTTTGAAGTAATGTCTTGGTATTTCTCACTGCCACAAACTATATCCTAGGAAACACCACAACTGGATTTCCCCCCAGCCACTCAAATCCTGGAGTGATAAGTTCCTATACTATGTGTTGCTCTGTGGCAATTGCTAGATAGAAGTAAAATATATATAATTGTTAAAGTACTCCCCTTGGACCCAGAGTGTCAAAGCATATGAATGGAATATTAAACTTTTCCCCTTGGAAATAAACTACTTTCAAGGAATAAGGATATATTTATATTTTACAAGAAAAGTATAAATTGACGAGGTAGGCAGTACATAAATAAATAGATAAATAAATATAAAATAATAACAATAAATAAAATAAATTGTATAAAAATATATTTAGTGTTAAATGTTAAAATGCAGGTTTTCAGTGCTGGAAAAGACTGTGTTGTACCAGAGTCCCCAGAGTAAGGTTGTGGCAAGGCATAAATATGATCTGCAAATGTCAATATAAGAATTCCAACAGACCACAGGATGGCGCAATTTGCTACCAAAAAGGAAAATGTTTTTTAAGAGATCAGAGTCAAATAACTGCTTACAGAACAGAAGAAATAGCAAGAGCATTCAGTAAGCAAGAATAGGATAGAATAGAATAGAATAGAATAGAATAGAATAGAATAGAATAGAATAGAATAGAATACTTTATTGGTCAAGTTTGATTGGACACACAAGGAATTTGTCTTGGTGTAAATACTCTCAGTATAAATAAAGAAAAAGTACATTCATATCTAGTCACAGGTGATGGTTCTCAAATCTTTCTATATATAGGCACCACTAACTTCAAACACACATACAGGAGAGAGAAAACCATCAAGGCAGAAGTAATTATGTAAGTTTTAATCAAGTACCTTTCTGTGAACAGAAAGTAATACTGAGAATTACAGATGTCATCACATATCTATACCGATACTATTTAAGATTACATTGCTAACCTCCCAGTTGTTCTTCAGCCTACTCTTAATATGACAGTGTTTACTGCCAACAGACAATATGAAATTCGTATCAATCCTTTTAATGCAGGTATTACAAAGAAAATAAGGGGACCCTCATTCAGGCAAAATGTATGGCATATTTTTAATTTATGGCATAGGTCAATACTTCTATGAGAAATCTGATGGTATTTTAGCTAGAGAGAAACCTCGGGGAGGAAATCTGAAAAATCTGACGGTCTAAGATTGATCTTTGAGGGAAAGAACGTGTGTGTGTGTGTGTGTCACTCTCGCTAAAATACTTGTATTTTACTGGATACTCTTATGGGTTAGTGAAAAGAGCCGTGTCTACACTTTTGCTTAAGAGTGAAGTTTTGCCTCGGTCTCTTAATGAACTCTAAACTTCCTAGCTGGAGTTTAAGTCCTTGGCAGATTTGCTCAGATCCTGCAGTGAGTGCTGGTTTTCTTCCCGGGAAGGAGCAGGTTCTTGAACATGGGGATTGCTACACCTCTGTTGGGGCCCTTATTTCTGTCTAAAAGGTGGGCTTTATTCTAAGCTTCCTTGAATCAAGACCACTGATGTTTCTTTCTGTGTACACATCTCTTTTTACTTTTTTAAAATAGCCTTTAGCATAATAATTTCTTGCTGCAAAAGTTTACCTAATTGTTTCATGCTGTAACATGCTAGATTAGCGACAAAGGAAAACATACCCTGAATTTATTTCATCTTCCTTTCTCTTTCCCTTTCTCTTCTAATATAGAAAAGCTATCACTGCAAATTTACTAACGCAAATCTTTTCTTTACAACACTTTAAATAGGTGGGGTTTTTTTATTAATTAAAAAGTTGTGTAACTCTTAATTAAAAAGGCTGATCATTCTACTTGAAAAAACAAACAAGACACATATATCTTAAAAGGATTGAAATATGATTATTTTTCCCAGCCCTCTGCTTTTATTTGTAGCCTGGTATATGTAGCAATAAAGAAGCTGTTTTGAGCATTTTCCCCCCAGCATTAAATGTTTGATCATATTAAAAAGAAGTTCTTTTACACAATTTTTCCTAGTCAGGTTTTAGATAAAAAAGACCTAAAGGAGAAATAAAATGACGCTGATAAAGAAAGAAAACAGCAGTTCTCCAAGATCGCTCAAATGAGGCCCAGATTGTTGGGAGCAATGCGCTGACACTGTAAACCACTTAGAGAGGGCTGTAAAGCACTGAGAAGTGTTATATAAATCTATGGATTATTGCTATTGTTCTCAGTCTAACTAAATAAACAAAAATTGGAAAAATTAGTTAGATTGAACAAGTACACTCACCTTGCTTGTTTGACAGACATTCATTTTACTAAAAGACAATTGTAAAAGTGTTACAATATTAATTTGATTCTATTAATTTGACTTCTTACTGTATACACAAAATATTTCAAAGGGTTATATGGTTTTTAAACAAAATCTTATCTGCAGATGGGATCTGTAGTTTTCATCTGTTATGGGATCTTGAAACGGTAACTGCAGGTATCAACTAATTGTACTAATAAATTATAATAAATTTTGGTTTGCCAAAAACTAATTCTCATATACCTTACTCTCTAGGACAGTGATGGCTAACCTTTTCAGCTTGGTGTGTCGAAAATCGGGAAAAAGTGTAGCCTTCCTCGGGTCGTGTGTCACTTCAAGAAATATCAATAATTTGGTAATATCGTGAGCACTGTGTCTGGTTGTTGTGGTACAGTCCTCCTGCGATGTTTATGACGGACTGGGCTGGGGTGATCACACAGGGCTGTGAAACTCGTCTCCCTGGTCTCAGGGCTGCAGGTGCAGGATGTGGGGATCGGAAGGCCACCTTACAGGGCTGTGAACCTCATGGATCTCCTTTCCTCCTGTAGCGTTCCTGAGGTAATGAAACTGACAAACCTCAGTTTATGGCGGTTAAAACTGGTTCTCTGCTGCAAAGATCTCGCAGCAGCGGTGACACCACGCCTCCACGCAACAAGCAGGGAGCAGGGATTGGAGCAGAGCACAGGCAGCCTCTAAATGTGCAGGTTTTTCCCACACCAACAGGCGTGTCAGTCAAAGTGCTTCGGCGTGTCACGAGTGACACGCGTGTCATAAGTTAGCCATCACTGCTCTAGGATGTTTGTGTGTGTGTACTTGACATCTTTTTACAAGTATTATTTGCTTTCCTTAATTTTGATTTCAGAATCTACTTGGTGACCGTCTTGGCTTTTCTTATATTGGTTCATACCTGTAGAATGGGTACAGCTCTTGATTCTAAGCCAAATATCATTCTGATGTTGGCTGATGATCTTGGAATTGGAGATATAGGCTGTTATGGTAACACTACTATCAAGTAAGATATTCTCAGATGACTTTTATATTGCTTTAAAGCTGGTTAAGCAGTTGGACAATGTGCTTTATTGTAAGCTGCCCTGTGAGTACAGTGGCCATATAAATTTGACAAATAAGTAAATACATGCATATAACATTGGTGAATCTATCCAAATGTTTCATTTAACTTCATTCGATTTACTTAATTTACTTAATCTACTGCATTAAGTCTTATTTGTGTATATCACTAAGTATTATGCTTAAATAACTTACATGTATGATTATTTAATCTGCTACATATTGCCTTGGTGTACCCCAGCTGTCACACTTAAGTTTTGTTATGCATAGAGCCACACAACCTACAGATCTCCCAAATGAATACTTTTCAGATATGTCTGATTTCAATTCCCATAATTGCAAATGAGAACACGTGGAATTATGGAATCCAGAGAGCAGCAGGATAGGGAACATGGCTTCAACCTTCTCGACCTATGCGTTTACTTCTATTTTATATTTTGTTTTGCTGTAATTAATCCTCTTTCAGAACTTAGGAGTTTTATGAATAATTTTCAGAAAGTAATGTAAAGTAATTGAATTTCAGCCAATTTAAAGATTGCAAGTAGATGTCTAATTTTATACAATATGCTAGTTTATACATGTTAAACTCTGACTCATGGAGCCAGCCTGATTCTGAAATACTAAGCATTATATATTTATAAATATCACATGGAGTCAAAAACAATACTGTGATTTAGCAAGATGTGTAACCCAGTCTAGTATCCCTTGAAACATTGTCTTTAAGAAATGTAAGAAAAACATGAGTTGTTTTCAATCTGTATTTTTTAGGACAGAAATCAAACAGAACAGTTTCAGGCCTTTTTTATGCGCTCCCACCAAAATCCTTCCTTTAATGGTGGAAGCTAAAAACAATTTAGGACAGAGCTCATCAAAGTGGAAAATCATTTTTCCATTCTTTTTTGGCAATTTTTCTCCTCCATTGTCCTTGATATGCTGATGTAATTTGGCTTAATTTCCTCCCCACAAAAACCTCTGGATCTTTCCAATCAACTGCCTTTCCCACTACATTTTCTCGTCCTTCTGCCTTCTACCTTTAGAGCTGAGGATGGCAATGCAGCTGGATGCTGCCATATGGAAAATTTTCCGCCATGGACTTTGTACTCCGTAAGAGGCTAAATACATGCTATATCTTGCAGACTCTTCCTTCCCAATGCATCCTGTTAGATATTTACATATGCACCTCTGATTGGCTGGTCTGTGGTGGCGGGAAATTAAACAGCCGTCACTGGTTGTAACTACTGTAAAAGGAGCTGCTGCGGCTGCTGTTCTTTGTTCTGAATGATACAATAAACAGGAGTAAACAATCGGAGCCTCCCACATGTTCTCTCGCCCACAATTTAACACATCCTATTCGATGCATAGATAGCAGAAGTATAGATATTTTGCAGCAGCAATCAGGAACACAACCACACATAGATACTACTTCCAACCTAGCAGACTCTTCAGCTAGAGCATCTCTATATGTTGTTGAAAGTACAAGCATACCAGACAAATCACTTTGGCTATTGCTATATTGTTTTACGTTTTTCAGTTCTTTTTCTATGACTAGCTCCTTTTTAGTTACCTACTTACATTAACATTTTATATTTTTATTGTAGGACCCCTAACATTGACCAACTAGCTAAGGAAGGAGTGAAACTTACTCAGCATATTGCAGCAGCCTCACTTTGTACCCCAAGTAGAGCGGCTTTACTGACTGGCAGATACCCCATCAGATCAGGTAGAGGAGTTTTTTTTTTTTTAAATCATAGAGTTGGATGAATGAAATCACATAAACCAAACGTGATATAAAGGATTTAAGGAATGGGACTACTATAACATCACAATGACATAACAAAACAACTGGGAACGGGGAAATATATTTGATGCCACAAAAACAAAGATAACAGAGCTATGATGGCACAGTGGTTAGAATGCAGTATTGCAGGCTAATTCTGCTGACTGCCAGGGCTCAATCCTGACCAGCTCAGGGTTGACTCAGCCTTCCATCCAGAGGTGATATTCAGCAGGTTCTGACCAGTTCTGGAGAACCAGTAGTGGAAATTTTGAGTAGTTCAGAGAACCGGCAAATACCACCTCTGACTAGAGATTTTACAGTATCCTTCCCCTGCCATATCCACCAAGCCACTCCCCCCCCCCCAGAACCGGTAATAAAAAAAATTGAATCCCACCACTGCTTTCATCCTTCCAAGGTCATCAAAATGAAGATCCAGATTGTTGGGGCCAAGAGACTGACTCTGTAAACTGCTTAGAAAGGGCTGTAAAGCAATGTGAAGTAGTATATAAGTCTATATAAATGCTTTTGCTATCAATATTTGGAACACCCACAAGAAAGATTATCCTGTAATATTCATTAATGTCCTTGTAATATGGTACAGTTTTTGCATGTTTTAGTTCTCTGGCATGTATTCCTTTGACTGTCTTTTACATGTTCATTGGGGATGCTGATCTTCAGTTCTCAATTATTGTTAAGGTCAAAAGTACATTAGTTCAAGCAACAGACCACCAACTACTGCAAATGATAAGGCAATTCATAGCCATTCATAGTCTAGGCTACACAGTGCCATCATCTACTACTACGCTACACATTGCATATGTGTATTACATTTGCAGTCATTGGCATTGTTGTAGACATATGTAGCTTGTTAATGAAAAAAGGGAATGTAAAGAATGCAACCTTTAAACAATTAATAGCTACTTTTGTCACTAATTTTGATATGAGATGGGCAGTTTGATATGAGATCCGCTTTTTTACAGCAGGCAACATATTTTATTTTTCTGGACAGATCGGGGGTGGGGGAAAGGATGCTGAAAGTGGAAATACAGGCTCTTTCTCTCATTCTCAGATTCAGCTGACACTTGTCTTGTCCAAATAATTGGATTATGATGGATATGTGATCATAATGATCTGATTCTAGTGAATGGGTGCCAGATAACTCACATTTCTGATGATTCCTTCTTCTTCTCATTTCTTGTAAAGGCATTTAGAGCCGGCCTGAGGGAAGTTACAAAAGACTTGATTTAAGGAAGGATTTGAACAACAATTACACAATCCAGAGATCAAAGCCAAACATGAAACAGAAACTCAAAATAATCTGAGCTTTACTTTGTTTAGTGTAAAATATGATCAGAAGAAAACATGGACAGCCTTGCAAGATTCCTACACTGGGGTTTGGATTTAAATCTGTCCTTTTAACTGTGGTGTTATAATCCAGGCACAGAAAGTCTTTTATTTCCTTGATGGTTCCTTTATCTAGCCTTCTTTCCAAGAACATCTCCATCAAGTGTTCATCAGATGCAAGCAGGATTATAATTCCCAACTTCTAAAACAGCATGGGCATTAGCTTGGTCCCGGTCATTTTGGTTGAGAAGTTTGGGAGTCAATATCCTAATTAAGCTGAAAGATACCAGCACAGAGAAGATTGGTCTATTGGTTCTGTAGTCTAAGTTTTGTGTTTGATCTGGATCACTTATAATTATTTGCAAATGTTGCAGAATGTGTTTTCCTCATGCAAACTATGATACATCACAGATATATAGAAAAAACCAATGCAGATATGGTACAAATTCATTTGTCTGATGAATCTGGTGCAAATTTACTGTTTTGCTTTAATGCCTTCCAGAAGTCAATAAAGTGAATAGAGCATAAGTGTCATGAAAACATTAACCATTTCCCTTTTATTTTGAAGGTCAAATCATCTCTTATGTTTTCCCATCTTGGTGTACTTGTAGCTGGTGCTTATTACATAGTATAATATATGCAAAGCCACTGTGTAAATGGAGAGTTACATGACTACATTCACTCAATGAATTTGTAGAATTGGATATATTTCCAATTAGGAAATGACAATACCATTTGCTACAGATTACAGGTAAAATGAACTTGTATTTGCAGGCATGGCTTCAAGAAATGCCTATCGAGTTTTGATGTGGAATGCTGGCTCAGGAGGACTTCCAGTCAATGAGACAACTTTTGCCAAGATGCTACAACAGCAAGGCTATGCCACAGGCCTTATAGGTTTGTAGAAAGTTATTATAAAGTTTCTATATGAGTCTTTCTCGATTGGTTAACCTCATCAGTGCTAGTTGAGGAATTCTGTGAGTTGAAGTCCATACATATTAAAGGTATGGGATTGAAAAACACTGCTCTAAGATTTGGGTGTAAAAATAAATACTAAACCTTAGAAGCAGAATTTGTGCATCAGATGAGCCATTACTGTATCAGGAATTGCAAATATCTCTCCATCTATTTTTTTTTTTTTTTTTTGTCATTCTCACCTACAAAATAGAGACAAAATTCTCTATTATCACCTATAAAATAGGGGAAAAAAATCTTTTTTCCAAAAAAAGAATGCTATTGGACTAGACCAAATATATTTTATCTAATATATTAGATAAAATAGCACTAATATATTAGATCAACTAGCACTAATATATTAGATCAAATATATTTTTTCTGAATTCTCTTCACTCCGGATGTTCTGACAACTAATTTTAGATGTATTTTGAAATGATATAACAGCATAAGAAGGCATTGTTTTCTTTGTTTCTTAGGCCTAAAAATATAAAGACATAAATGCAAAATGAGCTCTGGCCATTGTACTAACTGCTTCTTCTAGAAATAGTTGCTACTGTTCATTAAAAGTTCTATTTCCCTATCATCAGTATGTATGTTATGGGGTTTGAGAATTAATCATACCCACACAAGAGGTTGGCAGACTTTTTATGCGAGAAGGAAAAGATAGTTGCATGAGATTGTTATACTTTCAAATAGGATCACTGTATTATTACAAGATTTACTAATTAATCTAGTTAATTAGATTATATTAATTAGTTAATATATTAATTTTATATTGCTAGTCCATGTATGATATGCCATATGCTAAATAATAACAAGATTTGGGAAAAATAATTATTTTCGTTTGGGCAATACCCTGGTAAGCCTCTTGAAAGTGCCATTGTTTCTGGTTTCTGTTTTGTAAACTGGCACAGTGATAAGACAACAATATTTTTCCTCATTAGCAAGCATTTTAATTAAAGTAGAATGTAATGATATTAGAATCACTAGACCAAGCCAGGAAATCACCTTCATAAGATGGCTAAAATTACTGATATACCGTATTTGCCGGCGTATAAGACGACTGGGCGTATAAGACGAGCCCCCAACATTTCCACTCAAAATATAGAGTTTGTTATATACTCGCCGTATAAGACGACCCCCCCACTTGGAGGCATGTTTTTCAGGGCAAAAAAGTCATACGCCGGCAAATACGGTAAGTTGTAACACTTGGGGTATTCTGGATATAATTCTTGATTGACACCCCCGTCCCTTTCCCCCAAACTTACAAAGCCACCAAAATGCTTTAGAGAGGCAGCTTCGCCTTTCTCAGGCTGGCACTCAATTCCTCTCCCTTTCTTTGCGATCTGCTTTTTTCAGGGGAAAATAAATAAATAAAAATAAAACTGGACGAAAAACAGTCGAGTTGTTTCTTAATATCTTTCCACCTCCCCAACCAATTTGTCTCCAAGGGTGCACCACACTGATTGCGACATTAATTATTTCAGAGAGAGAGGGTGGGGGGGGGGAGAAATCTTTGCTTCCTACTGTGGCTTTTTCCTGCGCATCGTTTTTTCCCTTGGCTTTGTGGTTGTTACTTCTTACAGGGAGGGATAATGAAATACCCACGCTGGGAGAAAGCGGAAAGGATGTCTATTTTCCTGCTCACTAACTTTCCAGAAAGCGTCGAGTTCCTACCCCGAGACTTGCCAAAAGTCCAGTTCATTCATTTGCTACCTTTCTCCAATGAGATCCAGATCTGTTTCCACAACGCGCTTAGGATCTTATCTTATTATCTTATTATTATCTTATTAGCCTTGCTCGGTCCGTCCAAGAGAGAAGAAGGCAGACGGTTTGCGCTCAGGGAGAAAGGAAAAGAGCCTCTCGCTCACGCTGCACACTGCCCCCCCTCCACCCCAGCAACGCTTAGGAAAAGAGTTACACAAGCATCCTTTCCAGAAGTGAATGGGGGGGGGGAGGATTCGGAGCAAAGGCTGAAACCGGGAAGAGAAAAATTCCCAAAGAAAATCGCACGAGCAGCATCCCATTCCTGGGAGAAAAACAAAAAAACAAAAAACACGAACTCTTCCCGAAGCACAAAAGCAAGGATGGCGCTTTCTCAGCTTTGAGCTGCGTCGCTGCTCTCCCACCCCCTCCGGCTGGGCTTGAAGGGGCTTCGCAAGTTGCGGAGCTCCGCCCCTGTCGCTCTTGCACCGAGTGACAACAACATATTTGCCGGCGTATAAGACGACCTTTGTTATATACTCGCCGTATAAGACGACCCCCCCCACTTGGAGGCATGTTTTTCAGGGCAAAAAAGTCATCTTATACGCCGGCAAATACGGTAGGTTATAATAAAAAAATATTTCAAGTCTCATTGTGCTGTACCTTCATCATCTTCTTATACTCTAATGAATTAAGGAAGTTGACTGGATCATTTCCAAATATTTTCTCATTTTTCAATTTATTTATTTTTTGCCTAGCTAACAGTTCTTGTATATTTATGTCAAGGCCAACCTTCTTAATCTCTGCAAATAATAGGATGTACACAGCCATATTTAAATAAGAACATAGAAAAACCTGCTAAATAAGATTAATGGCCCTTCTGGTTCCCACCAAGGTCAACAAGTTGCTGGGGAATCCACAAGGTAGATAAAAGATCCCAACCCTCTTAATTATCTATGTTAGGACAAGGCAAAATACACACAGTTTCCTCAGTCTGCACCAGAGTAATACATTAACTGCATAGAGGTTAAGACGGTGTCAAGTTTCACATGTATGGCTATGAGCATTGTGAGGAATATGGATAAATTCTACAATTTACTCAATTTATTCATGTAGGCATGGTCATGATTCAACCAAAATAGAGGAAAAAGATACACAAGGACAGACCAAGAGGTAGTTTCTAACATAAATCATCCAACCAATAGTTACACCAGTCAGATCCCATTCCTGGATGGAATTTATGTATATACCATCCAAATAAATTGATTAATGCATAAATTTGTAAGGATAATTTACATATTTTCTTCTGGTAGCATAGTAATTTAAGATATTTTGTAAGAAATTTCACTAAATGGTAACATAATTCTGGAAAAAAAATTTAAAAAAAAATAGCCTGGTAACTGATTTATGTTTGGAACTAAACCTAAAATCATCAGATTTAGCATTACCTAAATATAATCTTTATCATAGAACTCCTAGAAATATATAATATCTTCTCAAGTCATATCTGTTTTGACTTTATATTCTTTCATCTCCATAAAAGTGAGTATATCCTTTAGAAGTGGACACTGCAAGATTTCACTCTCAGTTGTACCATGGAACAAGATCATCAAGTTTAATTTTCTGATAATTTTCAACACAAATATTCTTTCTTTGTAGGAAGTCATGTAAAGGTAACATAGTAGGTTTACATTATTGTTAAAGAATAGTAGAGAAACAATGTAGTGAGACCATTCTTCAAGAACACAGTTTCTGTCATTTTAAATTTAGATTTAAATGGAGATGGGGGATATTTTTGGAGTATTGTGTTTACTGAGTACTGAGATTATCCCAAAGAACAAATCTGACTAAGTAATACTTTCCATTTTGATTTTCAGGGAAATGGCATCAAGGTGTAAACTGTGATAGTATCAATGATTATTGCCACCATCCTTTGAATCATGGCTTTGATTATTTTTATGGCATGCCTTTCACACTTTTCAACAATTGCCAAGATAACAAACCTCCAGAACTGGATAGAGACTTTCAAGCTAAACTATGGTTCTATACACAAGTCATTACTTTTGCAGTACTCACATTTCTTATTGGAAAAATTACTGGGTTGGTGTCCATTCCTTGGAAAGTGGTTCTCTTCCTTGCTTTGTTTAATTTCCTATTTTTTGCTTCATGGTACTCCTGTTATGGCTTTGTGAAATACTGGAACTGTATCTTGATGCGCAACTATAACATCACTGAACAACCTATGAAATTGGAAAGAACAACTTTTGTTTTACTAAATGAAGCACTTTCTTTTATTCAAAGGTAATAAGTAGATCTATCTAAATATCAAATACCAAAAGTACAGGTAGTCCTCTTACAACAACTCATTTAATGATGGTTCATAGTTAGAACGGCACTGAAAAAAGTGACTTAATGAGTGTTTTTCACACAACCGTTGCAGCATCCCCATCATCATGTGATCAAAATTCAGATGCTTGGCAGCTAGTTCTTATTTGTGATGATTGCCATGTCCTGGAATCATGTGATCCCCTTTCGTAGCCTTCTGACAAGCAAATTTGATGGGGAAGCCAGATTCACTTAACAATCATGTTACTAACTTAACAACTGCAGTGGTTCACTTAACGGTGGCAGGAAAGGTTGTAAAATGGAGCAAAAGTCACTTAACTATGTCATTTAGCAACAGAAATTTTGGCACAATTGTGGTTATAAGTCAAGGACTACCTGTATTGAAATTTGCTAAATGGAATCTAAATATGGTCATTTTGTTTGTTTAAGCAAGAAACACAAGCCATTTCTCCTGTTCGTTTCATTTCTGCATGTCCATACACCTCTGTTTACAACTGAAAAATTTGTTGGAACGAGCAAACATGGTACATATGGAGACTATGTAGAAGAACTGGACTGGTTAGTAGGTGAGTTGCTTCTCCTGCTACAGAATAGACTTAAACCTTTCTCAAGAAGGATTAAAATATGGTTAATCTATGATTATATAATTGTCTACCCTTTATTTCCTGTTTTGGACAGCAATATTGTCTAGAATTCTTAAGTTATTTCTGAGCAGTTAGAAGAAGAAAAAAAGAAACAATTGGAAGTGGTTGGGAATTGGGAATATTATATATTTAATTTTTCAGATGTAGTTGTGTGTGTTATGATGTCCCATCTCAATCCTTGTGTGTTACTTTCCTAATGAAATAGGGAGTTGTCTTAGTGTTCTAGGCAGGATAAAAAGTTTCCTTAATGGTACCACATACAAGACTTAGAATAATGTTATTGTCACTTTGAATGTACACTAATCGGCATGCACTAAAATGAATTTTGTTGCATACAGTACCACTTCCAATATACACTACATAAACTTGACAAAATAAATAAATATAAAATTATGCTTATATCCACAGAGAAACAACGCAGTCTAGTTTGGATGTACACATGTACATGGCAAGAAAAACAAAGGAGAATGCAGCTATAGCAATACAGACTGGTTCATCTACAGAGGAGCACACAGCCCCAGGGCCCCTGAAGGACCACCCCTCCTTTTAATTCCCTTTTAACATATATGCATTTTTTAAAAAAGTATACATACAGTTGTTATGTTATAATATTTTATTCATTGCAAGAGTAAGGGGGGGTTTCAAAATTTGATAGATATAATAGGTTAGACTGGATTAGATTAGATTATTTTTAGATTAAATTAGATTGAAGATAGATAGATAGATAGATAGATAGATAGATAGATAGATAGATAGATAGATAGATAGATAGATAGGCAGGCAGGCAGGCAGGCAGGCAGGCAGGCAGGCAGGCAGACAGACAGACAGACAGACAGACAGACAGACAGACAGACAGACAGACAGAGGTAGAGATAACTTTTCAGGTCCAACATTTCATTCCTAGACTTTTTATACCATATTTTAGGTAGATTTCTGACTGTTCACTTCCCAATCTTGAAGATAGACATCCAGCTTGAAGGCTTACTAGCATGCTTGTGTTGTCAGAAGGCAGTTTCACACAGGGGAGAATTTTCTGATTTCAGAATAATTTCTCTTTGCACTGACTACAGTAGAACCTCTGGTCACTACCATAATTTGTCCCATAACTTTGGTCACAACCCGATTTGGTTATGAACCTAATTTTGGAAATTCAGCACTTACCAAAAAATGGTGCGGAAGGGGAAATCAGCTGCAGGAAAAAAATGTGAATTTTTTGGTCAGAACCTGATTTGGTTGTGGTCAGAAGCATTCATGACCAGAGGTTCTACGTATCTCCTGTGTTTTATCAAAGTGACAGAATTATTTCAGAATAATATACTAGGAGATACTAGGCCCTCGTTGTTCAGGAGCAGCATTCACAAATAAGGTGTTCTGACCCAAACCTTGTTCCAGGGAAGCAAACACAAAACAGAGGTAACAGAAAAAACTTTTAATGATTCTTTACGAATTCCGTTCCTTCATGGTTAAAAGGCTGTTTCAAATTAATTATTTCTGATAAGAACGAGCCTTGCCAAGATGGTGCAAGGCTGCCAAGAACACTAGATAAAGTGACTAAGAAATATTTCAAACACAAAGAGTCTCCAAACACCAACCAAGATATTCCAAACATCCACAAGGCTTGAGTGCAAAAACTTCTTTGCTTCCTGCAAAGAACTCCAGTTTCTCAGCTGGCTTTTATTTCTTGAGGGAGGGGCCATTACCTTGCAGCCTTACTCCCGAGTCACCCATGCTGCTGTGGCATCACACATAGGCCCCTCATCTGAGTCCTCACTCTCTGAGACCTCAGGTATCCACACCTGCTGCAGGCAAACCACAACATAAGGTTTGGGATCTAAGTTAGAGATGGCAAATTTAGAGGATTATTTTGAAGAAACAATGTCTTTGTAAAGGGAAATATGGGGAGCACCATGAATAATTAAAATATTATTTTTGTTATTCTTTGAATATTTTGGTATCATTCTGTATAAGGTGGATTTCTCTCTCTCTCCCCATGCAGGTCAGATTCTTAATGCTATTGACAAGGAAGGCTTGCGAAATAGCACCTTTGTCTACTTTGCTTCAGACCATGGAGGACACCTGGAAGGTCAAGAAGGAACAATACAGGTTGGGGGTTGGAATGGCATCTACAAAGGTGAATAAGGCAGTAAGACTGTCTGTCTACCTAGAATTTTGGAAGTCATTCTTCTGACTATATTCCAGGATCAGTACATAAGCATACCCAGTGGTGTTCAACTAGATGTTTCTTTTTCATTGATAGCCTCTGTAGATCGGTATCTCAAGAAACTAATAAATGCTAGGCTGAATTATACACACGAACAATACCTGCTGACTTGGGCACAATATAGGAATATTTAAAATATAGGAATAAAAAGTGATTCAGATTATAACTAAAATTGATGAAGCTGAGCTTTTTTCCCCCAATTATTTTATTCAAAATGATTAAAATAGAAAATAAAAAAGTTAAATAATATTTATTCTTTTGTGTTTTCTATTTTAATCTTGTTGATTAAAAATTTGAAAGTATATTTATTTGTTTCCATTGATTTTCAGACGCTTCGGCTCAAGGGAGCTGTGAGTGTTTAGGTTGATGATTAAGGTATTAATCATTTACATAAGTTTCAATTTCATTCTTTCGATCTGTTTTTAGTAATCTTTGTAATGTTTGAAGAAATTTGGACGTGCTGGTTCTTTTCAAGCAATTGTTCTTTTCCAACACTTGATCTTCAAAATGAGAGCAAGCGTTATTCTCTGTAAATATATACAATATAATATTACAAGCCAATTTAGTATACCTGCTAATAGCTGCAATTATGTTGTGTCCATAACACAGGGGGCAAAGGCATGGGAGGCTGGGAAGGAGGTATCCGTGTTCCAGGCATAGTTCGATGGCCAGGAATGTTGCCAGCAAATATTGTTCTTGATGAGCCAACAAGCCTCATGGATATTTTTCCTACAGTGATTCATTTGGCTGGAAAAGATGTGCCCCAGGACAGGTATAGAACCTGAATTCTTACTGTACCTATATTTAAATTATTCCTAAGTGATCCAATAGTTTCTTTATCAATATATATAATAGAATCTTGTTTCTTCTGTCCTTCTTTTGAAATCAATATGGATTAATGGGCAGTTTCCAAATATCATTCCTAAAGTAGTCCTTTAAAGAAATTGTTCTTTGCCATTTACTGAAATTGCTTAACAATAATCTCCAGTATATCTAATACATCATCTAGGATTATGAGTATTAAATCAACTGTGATTGTATATGTGCTGAAAGCATTTTCTGCAGTTTCTTTATAATACTGATTATGCTGTAAAGCTGCTTCCTTTGTATCTGTACCATTCTGTCATCTTTGCAAATGTTTATTTATACATTTTAATTAATTACTTGTTCCCCTGCTGAACACTGAAACACAGTTTTGTTTACTGCATAATACATTTAAAGCAATGTTTCTCAACCTTAGCAACATTAAGATATGTTGAGTCCAATTCCCAGAAATCGCTAACCAGGAGCTTCTCTGGAGCATTCTGGAAGTTAAAGTCCATGTATTTTAAAGATTGAGAATAAGACACAGCAAATTATTATTACAAATCCTGAAACAAGTGAGACTAGATGACAAAGACATCCGAATCATAAAGAATCTATATTGGCATCAGGTAGCAAATGTGAGACCAGGCCGAAAATACTCAGATAATAGAGAAATATGAAGAGGGTTGTATTCTGTCTCCACTGTTGTTTAATATCTACTCTGAATCCATTTTCAACAAAGCACTAGAAAACATTGAAGCTGGCCTTAAAGTAAAGGATCAGCAATTTAAGATATGCTGATGACACAGTTCTGCTTGCCAGTAAGCATGAAGACCTTCAGTTACTCATCAACAGAGTCACAGAAATATCTGAAAAATACGACTTGAAGCTTAACACATCAAAACCCAAGATCATGGTCATCAGCAAACAATTCATTACTTTACCACCGATAACTTTAGAAGGAATGCCACTAGAAAAAGTTGAAAGTATCACCTATCTTGGTTCTAAATTACATGAAAGCTGGAACATGACAGAATTCTTCAAAATGAAAAAGGACTTCTGAAGTCATAACATAAGCCTAAGGTTGAAAATCAGGCTTGTCAGATGTTACATATTTTCTATCCAGCTCTACGGAGTGGAGAGTTAGTCTCTGACAGAAAGTCACTTGAAGAGACTAGAAGCATTTGAAAGGTGGATTTACAGGCAGCTATTACATATAAGTTGGGTTGACAAAATCAGAAATGAGGAGGTGATAAGATGCCTGGGAAAGCCAAGAGAAATCATCAAAACCCTAAAAAAGTGAAAGTTATAATATTTTGAACATTTGATGTGACACCCAGAAAAATACAGCATACTTCAGTTAATCCTCCAAGGAAAGATTGAAGGTAAACGAGGTCTAGGCAGAAGAACATCATGGCTTCAAAATCTAAGGGACTGGGTTGGACAAAACTCAACAGCACTTTTTCGTGTGGCTGTTGATAAAAATAAGATCACCAACATGATCTCCAATGTCCACAAGAAGAAGAAGATTGAGAAATGCTAATTTAAAGTATTGCTTAAGTGGCAAGCAGTATGAAAATTATACTTTTCTCTAAAAATTATTTGCATTTTTAGAAAGATTCTATTCAGTTTATTTCAAAAAATATTATTTCTAATATATTTTTTAAAATATAAGATATATATAGTCTACCTTAATATGTATATTAACAACATGCAGAAAAAATATTGGAAAATAATTATCTGTCACATTAACATAGATTTGATCGTATCAGCCTGAATATAGGATCTAATTTACTTACTTTTGGGTGACTACTATTTCCTGTATCACTGTAGAATAATTGATGGAAGAAATCTTCTACCTTTATTGCAACAAAAAGTCAAACACTCGGAACATGAATTCCTGTTTCATTACTGTGGAAGTTATTTACATGCAGTGCGGTGGCATCAAAAAGACAGTGAGTGAAGTGGGTTCTCCTGCATTTGAAAATATCCCTCCAAAATAACATACCCACATATCACCAGAGAATTATTTATTTAGTCACTAACACAGCAATAATCATAAAAGACCATAAGTATCTAAAATTACTTTGGAAAGAGGGTGGGGTGAATGCAATCAGAATTGTGGGCAAAATAAGAACACTGAGAAACAGGAGGGAACAAATACACAGGTAATGATTTATCCTGTAAATAAATACCTAAGGCTAATGCGTAAATAACTTAATACTACTTTGTACGTGAGAAAATGATCAAAACCAATGCAAAATAATTATTTTGTTCAGACTTCTTTGACTATAATTTGTTAAAGAAGCCATGGTTTATACATGAAAGTGACAGTTTTTATACAAGAGACAAACCATATTGAGGCTTAGTGCAAGATATAAATCACATTTCTATCCTGGTAAAAGAGCTTTTGCATTGGGTATAACGATGATGATGATGATGATGATGACAATGACAACAGTAACAACAACAATAACAACAATAGAATTCTTTATTATCCAAGTGTGATTGGACACACAAGGAATTTGTCTTGGTGCATATGCTCTCAGTGTACATAAAAGTGTACATAAAATGAGCAGACATGACTTTTTAGTGCTGGCAAGAATTTTTTGTTTGATTTCCAAAATGAAAATAAATCTATATATTCTTCATATGCTATCTTCATAAATACTTTGATACTGTTTGTTTTATGTTTTGTTTCTAACAGGTGGTGCTTTATGGAAGGCTCATTATGTGACACCAATATTTTCCACTGAAGATGCAGGGGGTTGTTATGGAAAAGGAATCTGTCCATGTTCTGGAGAAGGTATCATCCATCATGTTCCTCCATTGCTGTTTGATCTCTCAAGAGATCCATCAGAGGCCAAGCCTTTATCAGAGACCACTGAACCACTCTTTCAGGAAATTCTTAAAAAAATAGATGAGGCTGTGGAGAAGCATCACAGAACGCTTACTCCTGTCCCACAACAGCTCTCTTACTACAATATCATTTGGAAACCATGGCTCCAGCCATGCTGTGGGATATTTCCATTTTGTTGGTGCAACAAGGAAGGTACTAACATCAATTCAAATTAATATAGACTACCCAAAAATTTTATTAAATGAAAATTAACTTTAAAACTGAGTCTCAACCGCTCTTTAGGTCAAATGCGTGGATCAAGGAAAACAAAAAAACTTTGGTGTTTTGGAAAACAAAAAGCTTTTAATTCCTTCTTCTGCAAGGACACCAAGAAAACAGTCAAGCAATAAAAATAAAGTCAGCTCTAAACTGAGTTTAACGGAACCCTGTATTTATAGTAATTTTCCCTTATTATACGGTATTATCTGTTATTACCCCTTATTACCCACTCACATTCATCGTAGTTAATCCTTGTATCTTAATTAATCCACCATTTGCTACATTTACATCAACATTTCCGTAACAAAACGGCTCCCCCTCAATACACCCTCCGTGTTTATTATTCAGGATCTTTGCTGGTGAATTGGAATCACCATCCTTCCAGATCAATATCATCATCGGAGCTCCGTTGGTCGCTTGTGTTGCATGGTCGCGACACTGAGAATTTCAATTAACATTATAAACTTTTCCAATTTGATACATTTTTTCAATTAAGGTTGCTTGTTTGTCAAGCATTTATTCCTTGTAATCTTTCTATCTTTTGTGGATAACAGATTTTTTTAAAAAAAAATATTGAGACAGTACTGGGGTTATCATCACAAATTTATGTATACTTTACCAAATGGTCTTAGCAAAAGATCATTTGCTAAGACTAAAAGGCATATAATTCACCCTAATGACAATCAAAATAATTTGTACCCAGAAGATCTAAATTTATCCTGTACTTATTCACTTAAAGGATACAACATTCTTTTCATAGAAATACACACTAGTGAATGAAAACATAACTTTGAAATGCATATTCCATAAAATATACTGTATACTAACACCCAAACACATTAAAGATAAACCTACAATATATTCCCTTGTAATAAGTTGATATACCCACCATCTTCAATATTTATTTTATTTTACAAACCCCTACCGTCTTCTCTTCTGTAACCATATGAAGCTCAGGGGCATTCATAATTTGGTTAGAAATCTTTTTTCTCTCTCAAGACATCCTAATTGCTGGGAAAGTGAGGGAGGGAGGGAAGGAATGGAAGGAAGGAAGGAAGGAAGGAAGGAAGGAAGGAAGGAAAGAAAGAAAGAAAGAAAGAAAGAAAGAAAGAAAGAAAGAAAGAA